GCAGGAATAAAACAAACAAACAAAAAATAAGGATCCTGAGAACAAAGCTATTCTCCAGGAATGCAAAGGTCCAGAACCACAGAAAGGGAAGCCTCTGGCAGCAAGAGGTAGGGATGGGAGTGGGTGCCTGCATCTATTCTGAAAACCCTGGAGACTGCAGCCCAAATGCACTGCATGAGCCAGGCTCTGGAGTCAGGCCTACGAGCCTTCTCTGGGAACACATGAACTTCATTACAGCCCCAACTCCACATATACTCCCCACCTCCCATTGGCTCAGGGCTATGTGGGAGGAGCCTCCTGAAGCCCAATGCTCTTGTCCCAGCCTATCAACTCCCATTCTGTGACCTAGAGCCACTCTGACCTCAGAGGAAAATGGAGCTGGGTGGGGAGAGTAAGACAAGGTACAAAGATTCAGAGAAGACTTCCTGGAGTAGGTGCTACCTGTGCTAGCTGGAAAGTGTGAGCACATGGGTAGATCAGAAGGGAGATGGTGCTACAGGGTGCCCATGGAACAGCAGGGGAACTAGAATGAGGAGGGACAACTGAAAGAGGGGGTGGCATAAAGCCCCCATTAATTCACTCATTCATTCACCCAATATCTATAGAATACCAACTGTGTGTCAGGCCCTGCTGGAGGCCCTTGGACACAGCAGAGAAGATGACAGAAGTGATCACCCTGCCATAGCACTAGCATTCTAGGGGAAACAACATTAACCAAGTTACTATATACAATGATGTCAGGTATTGCTAGAAGTTATAGCGAGGTAAGCTAGGTATCCAGGGAAAGCCTCTCTGGGGAGGTGACCTTGAACAGAGTTGAAGGGAGGAAAGTGGCAAGTACAAATGCCCTGGGGTTGCAAGGTGCCTAGACAGGAAGCCAGTGGGGCTGAGCAGAGTAGGTGAGAGGGAGTGCTGCCATGGATTGAATGTTTATTTCCTACTCCAAACCACATGTTGAAACCCTAATCCTCAGTGGCATGGTATTTGGAGATGGAGATTTGGGGAAGTGATCAGATATTAAAGGTAGAACCCTCATGATGGAATTAGTGCCCTTCTAAGAAGAAACACCAAAGAGCATGCTCCTCCTGTATTTCAGATGAGATGTACCCTCATCTGCTTTGCTATGTGAGGACACAGTGAGAAGCCAGCCATCTGCAAATCAGGAAGAGCCTTCAACAGATACCCAATCTGCTAGGACCTTGATCTTGGACTTCCCAGCCTGTAGAACTGTGAGAAATAAATGTTTGTTGTTGAAGCCACCCAGTCTGTGGTATTTTTGTCACAACAGCCCAAAGGAACTAAGACAAAGGTGATGGAGAGGAGGTCTGAGAGGTCACAGAGACAGGATGTGCAGGGCCTGTAGTCCCTGAGAGAACTTTGGCTTCTACTCTGAGTAGGCAGGAGTCACGGCAGGGTGCAGAGCACGGAAGGGACTAGAACGACTTATGTGTTAACTGACTGGAAGAGATGGCAGAACTGGTCCTGGGCTCTTTTCAAGAGCCCCCATGAGAGACCATATTCCTTCAGCTGCCACCTCAGAGACCAAGAAAGATCAAGCCATAACTGGAGGCTAATATCAGGGGAGCTGTGAGAAGGCAGCTACACCAGGTCTGTGAAACTGCCCACTTCCTGCTGGGGTACCATGGACCCTGCCAGGCCCAACATTCACTTAAGCAGAAATTCTCCTCAGGAAACCCCCAGCCTGATGAGGGATGCCTACTAGGCTCTTGACCACAGCTGTACCACACATGTAGCCCAGCACCGACTGCAACAGGGACTTCACAGCCACCTACCCACTTCATTTCCAGGAGCTGAGCCAGGGAGAAAGCTCTATCTCAGATGTAGACCGCTTTCCCTA